GCTTATACGACTTTGACTCGGATCTAAATATTTTTCACCAACCTTTTAGCTTTCTCTTAATCTATAGCTCTTCTCTCTTATCTTAATGAACGCGAGCACGTAGACTGGTCGTACTATGAGTTTTTGATACTTAACCGTGATGTCATTATATCTTCACCATTAAATATAGAAGATTGGAATGGCCTAGATGGTACATGGACTCGTAGATTTCTAAAAAACGCAGAAACGATGCTTGAATCAAAGGACTTTGAAATTTTAAAGGTCAAGGTATTAATTTTCTTTTATTTAACCAAGGGAACTCCTGTCAGCCAACGCCTGACTCAGGAGTATCAGTCAACGTCCTGGCCCAAGTGATGGTAGTGGCACCTCTGGTCAGCCAACGCCCTGATTCAAGAGTATCAGTCGACGTCCTGAGTCTTACCATTGCGAATCTGCATTTTTTTATTTGGAGTTTCTATTTACTAACAACCAGAATCAGTTGTTTTACGATTAACTTTTTATCATTGCCAAATTTAATATTGCATTATATAATAGGTAGATTCTGAACGTTCAAAACATGGAATCAAGACCTATTGGGAAAATGTTATCCATGAACAGAAAAAAGTACGTCAGGCCTTAAGTATCATTGTTTTTCCTTTATTAATCTTATTAGGATATTACAAACCTTGACCAATATGCAATTAGTTGAACGTGAAACGCACCCATATTCTTGGAAGTCTCGACCTCCTAGATAAAGCCGGGAAACATAATACTGTATTGAAAATTTATCCTCAGAAGGATTTTCAAATTCTTTTCCTGTTAATACGACACCTGTATCCAAACATGCACTTGATGGTTCTAACTCAACCTCTTCTCAGAGGAACAAGAAGGTTGGTATATATTGTACTTATACTATATATAATACAAAACATTATTTTAATTTTTTGCTTGAATATTTGTGTATACAGACCAAAGCTGGTGAAAACGAAGAAGAATCAGTTGAAGAAACTGTTATTCAAGAAGATATTTTGCATTCAATTGCCGAAACCACTAATACATTCGGAAATGTTGAATTCCCTGAATATTATAATAAGCTCAAGAAAATATGGAGAACCCGTGAAACAGGTTCAAATTACTATGTAATCGATATGAAAAATCGAGAAATATTAAATGAAGTACATAATCTTTTGGATGCGGAAGAATTGAAATTACTATATGATAGACTTTCTCCGCAAAGTGAGGACAAATATTTAAGTAAAAAGGCGCTTCAATATTTATCATTATTTGATCAGAATAGTGAAGGTTATTCAGATAATGAAGAGATCGAAGATGAAATTATTTTGGAGGTGAAAAAAGAAGTCTGCAATTTGGACGGGCTAATAGCAAAATTTCAATATCTATCCCATGCTCTTCCTATCCCACTAAAACAATATAATGAATTATTATATCCAGAAATTCATATCATTAAAAGTATAGCAGGCCATCTAAGCGCAATTACGAAGATGGAAGGAATTACTGATAACACTACGGAAAGATCATGGACGGCACATGTACTGTCGTACATGTTTTTTATAGCTTTTAGTTATATTTCTTCCGTAAAATTTTTTTCATGCGAACGTACAATTTCCACAAAAAATGATTCACAAAATATCGACTATAAAGCCGATGGGGTTGCTGAACTGTTCAAAAGGCCTAAACAAATTCCCATGTTCATACTCGAAGTTTCAGGTGACCCAGGTAATCCAGACCCGGATAAATACAATGATGATCGGAAAAAATTGTTTAGAGAAGGAATTTTTGCACTCAATAAATTTATAACCCGGACAGATCTTCCGAATTGGGAGGTTTGTACCTCTTTGGGTGTTTTTTTGTCTCAAGGTTATGGTAAGTTATTTAAAATGTTTCAAAATATATTCTTTATTTTTTTAACTTTCCATTATTTATTTCAGAAGATAATCTTGAAATCGGACAGCTCATTTATATTGGTCCGGGACTCTATATATATTCGCCTTTTACGATCCCTAACCTTATCATTCCAACTACTCCCTTTAATTTGCAACATGCTCCAAGACTTATTCGTACTCTTCTATATTTACGGCATAAAATAATTAAAACAATTCGAAGTTTCCAAGAGTTTGAAGAAATAAGACAACGAAGTATTACAAACCCAACATATAGATACCCTACTGGTTTTACACCAGATCGATTCCGAACTGTGACATTTAAAGATTTTTTACCAGAAGAATCAAGAAAAGAGGCATCTAATAGGGTGGATGAACAAGAGAATGGGTCTAGAGGAAGGGGAAGAGGTCGTGGAAGAGGAAAGGGAGGTGGATTTGATTCTCTATAGGCGTTAAATAAAATTTTTCTAAATTAGATATATTAATATACTTATAATATATATCACGTATTATTTTTAACGCGAATATATGTATAAGCTTGATCTTTGAACGACCTATGAAAATGTTTTATATACTGTAAATACAGAAATTATCAGTTATGAATCCAATTTACAGTTCGCATATTTCATATAAAAAATTATATATGCAAGGTTATTTGTAATCACGAATTCTAAAATGCAAATCATATATTAGCAGGTGCTAATTATGTTATACAAATGTTCTAAAGATGATGAATCGATTCTTTATTAGTTTTATTCCCATTACTTAAATAATAGTACGTAATATTCTGCGTCATCATCAGAAAACATTATGCTTATGATTATATTATTTGTCTTAACAGAAAAATGATAGATTAGTACAGGATAAATTCATATATTAAATGTTTAGATATTAAGTATATTAGTTATATATTATAAATTATTTGATTATAGGTCAAAATTTTTAAACGCTTGAAACGAAATTCTTGATTTTTTGTATTCTTTTGGGGATAACTATTTCTGGCTTTTCATCGTACCACACTTCAAGAAAATTCTATTATCTTGGCATATGCATCTTTTTAACCGATCACGATTAACAATGTCTTCAAGTTTTTTGATGTCTTTATATCAGCCAGTGTTATGAAACCGGTGCTGACTTCCTTGACCTCTAATGCGATTTGATATTTTTGAAAGAAGGAATCAAATTCCAATCCATTCAAGAAAGAAGGGATACTCAATTATTGGTTCCTCATTAAGAATTATTTGAGCTATTAAAATACATTTTTCCTGAAATTTACGATTTTTTTTTAGATTCCAATTCTTTTTTAAGTTTATCTATATCTTGTTTTAGCTTATTAATATCATTTATAAACCAGAGGTTAAGTTTCACAAGTCCATTATTAAATTCATCCAGTTTGATATTCTCAGCCTCAACTTCAACAAATTTCTTTCTAAGTTCTAGAATTTTAGCATTCTCTTTTCTGAGTTCAGTAATCTCGGATGTAAACCTAAAGTTTAATTCTCTCAAGGAATCGATTGTGAATTGATCATTCGACATTATTTTTATACAGGATGTGGATATATTCAAAAGATTAATCACATGAAAAAAATATTGGTAAAAATCGCGTTAATACGCCTTTGCTTTATTTTTTGTAATTAAAATCAAATCTATCTAATGTTTCTATACTATTGCCTGCACTATAAATTTTTTGTTTGTCTAAACTATCTATTATCATAGTTATTAGCAAATCGCCAGAAAAAATTTTTTGATTATATATTAAATTCACGAAATACTGCAATGTGTCATAAGTTAATTGACCTAATTTAGGATAATACAAGTACGAGATAACTACGGGATTTTTTTTATATTGATACATAATAACTACGGATAACCATGGGAAAACTGTGGGATAACTGTGGGATTTTTTCATTAATGAGAAGGCTTTACGTACAAATTTTAAACTATCATTATCATTACATA